CCCTTTAATTGTTAGGACAAGGTGCGAGACGTTTTAAAAGTTATCTGAAATTGTTGCCAAATTGATTTTTGTTAAACTAATTTGTTGTGTATTTGTGTATTTTTTTAGGTTTGGTTTCAAAACCGTCGGATGAAGGACAAGCGCCAGCGTATGGCATTGGCATGGCCACACCCGGCTGACCCGAGCTTTTACAATTTTATGCTGAACGCCTCACGATTTGGATATCCCGGCATGCCATTGCCATATTACCACCCAGCGATGTCGTCATTTCCGACCGCTGCACCACCACCGCCACCGCCACCACCTCCACCACCAGCTTCTATGTACAGTAACTATGCGATGCATCTGCGAAACCGTGCGGACTTGCTACGTAGTCTGTCGCACCCGTACGCAAGATTGGGCTCCCCGATCGATCTTCTACACAGAAACGGATCATCGTCATACCCGCGACTTCCAACCAGTATGTCGACGCCATGTTCGTGCCCTTACGGAATACTGTGCACGCGGTCACACCAGCAAACATCGCCGTGTGCACCTGACTGTCACGTGACGTCATCGCCGGTCTCGCGAGATTCAACAGACACTGTTGTTGCAGCATCATTAAGTAGTACGCCAACCACAAGTCATTTTACCAGTACATAATATGATGAAAAGTGGACACAAAGACATTCTCAACTGTGACAATGAATCAAAATATTTTATAGCAAACAGATTGTATTATTTTACTTGAACCTACTAGTATAGTGAATACAGTGACCGTTGGTGGGTGACTGGTTGGAAAATGGTAACATTGTTACTCTTAGCCGATTATTATTTTACAAATAGGACTTTATCTGGCCGAGACAAGTAATGTGGTGAATTACATGTAGGCGTGAAATTTTATAATATATTTACAAAACATTAACCCTGGAACTTTGAACCCCTCACGTTTCATTTAAATCCAAAGAATACGCTTTCATTGGGTAATTAATTACCCGCGAGTCTTTGCGGTTTTTATTTTAATCATTGGCTGATTTACTGCCGTGATTCCGTTTACGCGAATTCTTTTCCATTGTCATCTGAAATTTTCGAAAGAATAATTTAAATCTTAAAAAACATTCGTGCCTTCATGAAATTCACTATATATATAACTTTGAGTATATTTACATTATACTTAGTACGTACATGTAAACCTAAGCGCATGCGTATTTTCAGTAATTTATCATTTCATAAAATACTTGGTACTTACTTTTCATGCAAGCAATATTCAAATTATACTCAAAGTTATCTAACTTGTCTCTTTAATTTCAAGCGGGTGAGTCGTCACTTGCGCATGCGTCAGATGGCCATAGCATGTCATTGTTTACAAACAAGCGTCTACCCATGAGGCTTTGCGTTTTTAGCGTGTGTTGTTGTGACTCAATTTCCGCGCGTGCACAGGTGACGAACCTCCCGCTTTAAAGAGGTTTGAGCCGAATTGAAGATTATATGTCATGTTCGTCAAAGAATTTGGGTCACCGGACTATTTTTCGAGATATAAAATTCTCAAATGTCATGGAAATGTTCCAAATTGTTATTTTTACACGGATATAAATGATGAGACTATTTCTTTATATCTCAAAATTTCGTTGAAAATGGATGAAAAGATCATAGACTACTTTTGATATGAATCCTAATATTTAGAAAAATGACATATAATTTAGTAAGTTTCTATAGTGATAATAGTTTTCCTTTACATACAAGATGAGGTTATTTCCCATAATGCATTGCGCATATGCGCAGTGACATGCTCAGTGGTGAAACATTTGAATTTGGCTCAAACTGACTTAATGTGGCAAAGCATAGTTCCTATGGGCGAAGTGAATTTTGGACAAACATTTGGAACTGATATGTCATATGACAACGTCCTCCATGTTGTCACGGGGTAGATAGTTTGCCACTTGCCACGCATGTGATGTGGGAAATAATTTCGAACAGTGACAGCGTGCTGAATTCGTAGAATATGAAATTTGCATCCCACAATGCACTATCGTCTTCCGGATTTGAAGTCACACATCAATGGCGACACCTGATTTTGCCAGTATGCGGTGTCATTTTTGTTGTTGTAAATATGTGAAATTTTAGGCACGATTTTGTGATGCCATCGCAACTTCTGGGATGTCTCTATATGACGTAATTATGAAATAAATGTTTAAATCATGGTATATATGTTGTGACGTCATTTTCTTCTACCAATCGAATCTAGTTATGAAACTACATTTATAGAAATCGGTCATTGATTTTCTTCTAGACTGGCCCAGCTGTGGTAATTCAGTTATAAAAAAAATGGAAAAAAGGGGGACTGAACGCGAAACAACCACAGGGTTGTGTGTGATTTTGTGGTTACAGGGGATTTCGCGTTAACACCTCCATTTCGCTATTTTTGACTCCCATGTGCGAAGCACAAAATGGGAGTCTTTGCAGTTAGTGTGTGTGTATGTGTGTATGTGTGTATGTGTGTATGTGTGTGTGTGTGTATGTGTGTCCGACTG